GATGAAGCCTTCATTTACTCTCGACCAGGGTGAATATCGCTTGAGGATTCCTCAACGGCACGTCGAGGATTTCTGCCCGATCAGACACGATCTCTCGCGCGGACATTCACACTCGCCATGCGCGTGCCGTCTGTGCTCTCCGCGCGGATGTTCACTCTCGGCACTACTCTCGCATGGTAGAGAGCTATGGTCGAGGATTTCCTCGACCGTTATTCACCCTGCTCCACCCATACCGAGGACCAAATAGAGCATTTTCCGATCCACCAATAAATCAGTAGACTCACATTAACCATCACTTTATTACGTATAATAGTATAAGCGTTATAAAAACGGCATTGCAACACCTATGAGTTTTTCTTAGTGTTCGGAATTGTACTCGACCAACGAACGCTAGCGAACGAAACTACGCGGCAAACTACACTGGTTCAGACCGAATGTACATATACTGAAGAGGAGGAATCCACTTGATATCCTGTTTCTAGAATCATCCGAGTCCAACCTGAACCCGTCCATCGTCCCACACGGGATGTGGTGGGTGCAGAGAGTACAGGTGAGAACTCGATTGCATTATGGTAATGGTAGAGGTACTTTCTGGAAAAGCAAGATGATGATTGGAGATACAGATTGCAAAGACATGAAGAGCAGCACGGGATCTCGGCCGAATTGCGCGCGCGGACCGACGGCCGACCGGATCGGTGCCACACACCACCACCGCAGTTACACACGGGGAACGGGACGGTGGTGGAGGTGGCACAGGTCTAGGCGACCGTCTCTAAAGCTCTCGATAAAGCCCTCCAGCGAGAGTGGTCAGCAACGGGGGAAAACAACGAACGAATGACATGGCAGTCTGCGCATTGACTTCCAGCCAACCCTCTAGCAGAAATAAAAATAAAATTAGAAAAAAAATGGACCAAAACAAAGAAATAGTGGGAAAGAGTTTGGAACTGGGTTCTAACAATGCAAACGTTTCAACACCGGAACCAGAATTTCAAAAACACGCGGGCAATCAATAATAAAATATAAATATATTTGTATATGTATAGTCATCTATATAGGCTAGTCAGGATATGATCCATATGTAAGTTCTCACAGAAGAAAGACGAAAGCACAAGACGATTAGTGAACTATAAGATTTTCCTCACATGAATATGGTTATGATGAATGAAGGACTTGGTTGTATGTACAATATGGTTCAAAATTGTAGAAGTAGTGTTGGAATATGAACGGATGATGATGAAAAGGATGAACGAACGAGGAAAGGCTAAGGTGAGTGGAAAAGGCTAGTTGCCGGAGAGGATACGGGCCAAACTAGCGCTGGGGAGGATGGAGTCAGAGCCTTGGGATGGCTCGAATACGTTCATCACATCCATCTTCAACACGAACGGGATCACCGTCTCGATTGAAAGGTTCCCTATTAGACCGGAAAAGAACAGCTCGACGAGCACCGATTCGCGGAACCATCGCAGATTCGGCAGCAGCTGTAGTAATCGGGAGTACCTGAATGAACAGCTGATAAGCTGATATCAACAACAGATGGAAGCAGTGGATGAATACCTCTCGATAGCTGCGCCAACCGAGGTCGCCGTCACGTGGGTCTCATTGTCTTCAGAAGTCGAATCATCGTTCGACGACGACGCCATCACATGCTCGTACAGCTCCTGGCAGGCGGTCACGTTCAGGGGTCGTGTGTCACTGGCACACGTTGATGTCGGAATGTCTGCAAAAAGGCTTGAGCAGTCGCTATCGCAACATACGGGGGCATCCTCTAGGACTTGGCCCGAAAGGGACAGGAGCTCCGAGGGCAACGAAAATGGCTTACGCACCTAAGAGCTTTTCCTCCTCAACCTAATGCCTAGCCCCTTTGAATAACATTTTTTACGTGGGTTTTGATTGCATTGCTACCGCAATGCCTATATTGTGATAGCGCCTTTGAGCAGAGCTACGAAAGGACAGAATGGGTAAGGAACTAACCATTTGAAGTGAACGAGACGAGTTTGAGGTAGGCGAACTCCATTGGGCTGAGCTTCGCCTCAGCGAAACGGTTCACCAAAAGCAGTAGGAAGTTGATCTGCTGGCTGACCTCCTCGAACTTGTCGGGCTTTAATTGCCTGTAAACAAAGGCTGAATTGGTAGTATCGGCTTCAGCACAAAATCAAACTGTAGGAAATCTGAAATACAGGGAACAAGGTATCAATAGAATCCTTTTTTTTTCAAGATGATTTATTTCTTTACTGATTGCGTAAAGGAAACGACATCACGCCCACAGTAACACTTTACCTACCTGAAGCTGGACATTCTTACGATTGACATGAGCAAAGAAAAGGAAATGAATGGTACTTTTCGACCCAAAGGTCCAGTCCCTACCATCCATTCAAATTTTCGTTCAACAAGATTCCTATTTGAGATATTTTGATCCGTTATAAATGCCAGTCCAGGAATTATCAGGAACCCACGGTTCACTTCACCTTCAGAATGTTAAGCATTATAATGTTTTTCTATATTCGCAGTTTTTTTGGTATACGAGGAACATCTACTAGGACTCAGGATCTTATTTCCACACAGGAGGCTTTCTTCCGCTCACCTCCCTGCGTCGTTCTATCTGTTTCATCTCCATAGGAATCACGAGCAAGCCGCAGACAGCAAGACTCCGCCGCGGCGTGTGTGGCGGTACCAGGTGCCCAGTTAATACTTACTCCGTTTGAAACACAGAGGCGTTGTAATTTTACCCGGTTAAAAATTGATGTGCGTTCACAATATGATCTGGTTTGCACAGATTTTGAGATAATTATACGAATGTGAGCAGGTTGTTTTGACTTCTGGTTCCGGCTGCGTCGAACACTGAGTCCAAAGTCGTTTATTGGGATAAACACAGCAGCAGATTGGATAAACTGAACCATACTCAGCATGAAGGTATTTATACCGGTGATGTTTTGAAGGCAGATGGATAACAAATGGAAAACAATCTGTTTGTAACAGACTCCCAAAGCGAGAACAAAAGGCAAAGACAATGATAACATTGAACACAAGAATCTGACTTCTTTTTGGTTGAAGGGCTTCCGTCGTTTTCATAGCTGTGTGAATGGAGATTGTTGCCGTGCCTTTGATCTAGTCACCATCGGATGTTCAGATTCTCCTGTCGCTATCCGTTGAGACGGTGTTGACGATGGTTGTGAAGAAGATGGATGGACTTCTAGTTTGTAGACCATATTGTTAGGGCGTGTGATAATAGCTTTTGAAGGGAGTAGGATTTCGACTGATCGCAGGAAATTGTCTCGAGATCCGATGACTTCTCCCATCTTCCACTGGCCACGACTGAGGAGCGGGTCCTGGATGAGTACGATATCTCCTTGTTTCGGCGGCTGTATTTCATGTGACCGTGGTTTGAGGTGTTCGTCTTTGTATTGCTCTCTTAGCGAGGTGAGGTATTCTGAGTTCCATCTTTTCCAAAAAGCTGACAACAGTTCTGACGTACGAATCCACTCGTCCGCAAGGGTCTCTCGTGTAGTTGAGACTGGAATCCATTCGTCGGAGTATTCTTGAGGACTGGGTCCGGCGAGCTGAGCGTACGGTCGCAGGAAGTCGAATCGGTCTTAACGGGAAACAATCAATGTCATCGGTGATGTACGTTAAGGGTCGAGTGTTCACTATTGCTTCTGTTTCTTTCAGCAGTGTCCTAACGTCTTCTATATTAAGCAGTCGATTTCGAATGATGTGCATGAATGATTTCTTGAAAATATCGACCATTTTTTCGTAGGCACCTCCTTGCCAAGGACTTAGGCTGGGAATAAACTTGATCTGTAGTTGCCTTTTTGTGCAGTAGTCTAAGATATCATCGTCAACTTCGGGGCAAGGGAGTGACGAATAACATTTTGCAATGGCTTTGAAGGACAGGGCGTTGTCGCACAATATAAAGCTGGGGCATCCAATAGTTGCTATGAAGCGCCGCAAGGCATGAAGAACTGTGACACTGGTCATATCGAGAACCGCGTCCACATATATCGCACGTGTATTGAGACACGTTAAAAGAAGAACCCAATATTTTGAGGACATTCCGTCGGAGTTGCGGTAAAGCATCGGTCCAAAGAAGTCCATGCCTACACTTTGGAAGGGATATTGCGGTGTCGTAACTCGAAGAGAAGGATGAGGCGGGAATGGAGGGAGGGTGAAAGGTTTGGCGGTATAACGTTTGCAATAGAAGCATTCGTTTCTTAGAACTCTTTTGACGGTTGCTCTTCCCTTTGGGATCCAAACGCGCTGCCGTAGCTGAGTTAGCGTGTGATTGAGACCGCAGTGGTTGCCTTCGGAGTGGGTATGGAGTATGAAAAGAGTGGTAATGCGGTTTGTACTGGGAAGGAACACAGGAGTGATAGTATCTTGATGGAGATCACTATTGTCGATGCGTCCTTGAGATTTCCAAAGGTACGTCTTCGGACACTGGAACAAGTGGAGTTGGCGGATCAATTCGGGACTGGGGGGATTTTGGGATTGGGCCAATCGAAATAGTACTCGTTCGGCTCTTGCACGGAGTACTGCATGATGACGACCGAAGAGTGAAGCAGCTTTCGGAGACATTGTGGTGAAGAAGCGTAGGATCAAGAATACCGTTTTTTAGCAGGGAATTCCATGTGCTGAAGCGGAAGGTGTCCAAATGCAGGTTCAATGGTGGTGTTGAGTTGGAGGAGATGGCAGGATGACAGCCATGTTCTGCACTCTCATTACTCGTTTTTTGAGGCATATCCTCTGATAGTTCCGCGTGAAACAGCTCGGTAGTTGTACTGTTTGTGGAAGAAGGCCATGCCGCTTCTTCCAGCTTCAGAAAATCTGGACCACTCCACCATTTTGTCATTGCTTGTAATTCTGTGAATATGGATCCACGAGAGCCAATGTCGGCTGGATTGTCTTCCGTCGGGACGTAACGCATAATGACGTCTGAGGTAAGTGATCGAATCGTTTTTACTCGGTTACGAACGAACTGGGCACTGTTTTATCAGTGTTTGTCCACCTAAGGGCAACAGTGCTGTCGGTCCACAGAAACTTTCGACGCAACTCCAGGTCTAGCTGCGTAGAGAGAAACGTAAGCAGTTTAGAACCGATAGTGAGAGCCGACAACTCTAGGCGGGGTATGGTTATAGATTGATGAAGTGGAGCCAGCCTCGACTTTGCCATCAAGATCGAAACTTTGTGAGGAGAACTTTGACGGCGTTGAACTAGGTATGCCACTGCGCAATACGCGTTTGCGGACGCATCTGTAAATACATGAAGATCGAAATCTGATGTCGTGGTTGGCCCTGTTTCAACGATGAGGCGGTTGAGGTTCAATGTGTGATCGGACCAAGTGTTAATGCTATGTTGTTGCAGTTGGGAGGGCTAATTCATTCCAGGAAGTACGTCGTTCCCATCTTGATTCATATTCCACAGTGACTGAAGAAAGAGTTTTCCAATGAGAGTGACTGGTGAGAGTATACCCAGCGGGTCATAGATGCTGGCTACTTCTTTCAGCACCTTCCGTTTCGTCCATTTGGTTTGCTCTGGTGGTTTTCGTGGGAGGCTGATAAACAGCTCATCGGTAAGAGTGTTCCATCGGAGGCCGAGAAGTTTTTGTGTTTGCGCCATACTTCTACCTTCTTCTTCTTCAAAAAGCTTGTTTAGTTCTGAAGAATTGCTGGCGTATTCTCTCAAGTTCATGCCTGCTTGGCGGAACAATTCTTTGGAGTCGGCGAAGAACGACTTCCCTTCGGCAACATTGTTGACGCCGTGGAACACGTTATCTACATAAGTGTTTCGGAGAAGTGTTTGTGAAAGGGAAGTTGCTATTTTTGTCAGATGGTGATGGATAGTACCGGACAGCAGGAAAGGAGAGCATATGAGGCCAAATGGTACACGGGCAAATCGGTAGGTAACTATATTAGTGGAAGTTAATGGTTTCGTTGTATCGTTGACCCACAAGAAACGTGTGTAGTCCCTGCAGTCAGGGTGAAGTGCCACCATCAGAAATGCCTTTTCAATGTCACTGATAATCAGGATTGGAGGAAGCCTGCAACGTATGAGTATTCCAGTGAGGTCAGGTAAGAGCACTGGTCCTCGGTGAAGTATCTCGTTGATACTGGGATTTCCATTCGTCTTAGCAGAGCCGTCGAAAACACATCTCACTTTGATGGTATTGTCGTTATCGGATTTCAGTACGCCATGGTGGGACAAGTAATGGGAAGGCTTCGACAACTCCGTATTGGGCACTTTCTCTATAATTTCCCTTTGAAGTTGATCTTTGATGACGTTGTCGTATTTTTCCATGTAAGATGGGTTACTTCTCAATGACTTGAGCAAGCTGGAAAGTCTCGAGAAGGCTAATTTGAAATTGTCGGGTAACTGTGTTGCATCGTATTTGAAAGGTAGTTTGACCACATATCGATTTTCTTTGTGATTGTATTCGATAGTGTCATTGAAGAACTGGAGACAAACAGCGTCATCCTTTCGAGTAGGATCGTCCATTATTCCTAACTGCTTCTAGTTTCCAAAAATTTTGAACAAGTTCAGAAAGTTCGTCGTGGAGTACTGGATTGTTGAGATCGCCTTCTGCATGAAAGGAAGTGCAAGTTGCAATACTTTTCAGATTCAAAGACTTGCCTACAAGAATGTTGCCGATACTGGTGTGAAGCATACGATAGCCGTTCGGCAGTGTTTCGTAGTAGAAATCATCTGATAGGACGATGTCCCAAAAGTAATCATTTCCAATCAATATAGATGGCTTGCATGACGATATCGTAACGTTTCCGTTCTTCGCATTAGAATCGGGGTGTGCATGTCTCAAATGACCCGTTAAGGTGGGCAAAGATTTCACTTGAAGGTGCTTCTCTCCTTTCTCTGTCTTGATGCCAACGACGTGATTTCGAGATTTCAGTCGGAGAGGAGTCGTAGTGCCAAATGTTGACACAGAGATCTCTTCGGATAACATATTCTGGAGGTCGAGGACTCGTGCTAGTTCGTCTGTGATGTACGACTGGGTGGAACCTGAGTCGAAAAATGCAGTAACAGCTGTTGTCTTTGAAGAGTTTGCAGGATTAAAGAGGGCTACGGAGGTGCACATGAGTGTGGCTTGTGAGCGTATGTTTCGATTCTGATGGGAGGGACTGCTAACTATTGGGATGATATTGTCCTCTTGTTGATGAGGGTTGTTTGTCGTTTCTTTTGGTGAAACACTAACAAACTGCTCGTGAGTTCGGAACGAGGAGGGGTTAGGGGCGAAGGAGTGGCCAGGTTGCGGAATCTCTCTTCCTGGATTAGACACATTAGAGCATTTAGGACACAGCGATGAGTGATGACGCTTGGCGCAGAATCTACAGGATTGTTTGGATGTGCAGTCCTTAGAACCATGTTGACTGGAGAGACAGTTGTAACATAGACGTAGTTGTTCTACTCGACGAGTTCGATCACGCGGGGTCGGGAAGGAGTCGCAGACGAGAGAGGTGTGATCGGAATTTCGACAAAAGGAACATTCTTTTCTCTTCTGTGTTGAATATGAAAAGTGCTGAGGCTTCGACCGGAACTCCACTTGAAGCTCGTGACTTGAAGGATAACGGTTCATGCATGCGTGATAATCAATCTCTGATAGTGCGGCTTCTTTACGGACTATATCGGTGAGCAAGTGTAGCAGTTCGGTCGGGGAGAGGTTGTGGCTATTGTTTGTCTTGTCATATATCTGACTACGTACTCTGGCAGGAAGTTTGTTAAGCAGAATTGCTCCTAAACCGGTCTCGTTTGAGTCATTTCCGTCTTCAGCAAACTGCCTAACTAGAGCAAACATTTGGTTGTACAGAGTTTGAAGATTGCGACCTTCCTGGTCACAATTCGGTAGTTGTGACAACTTCGTGTAGAGGATATGTTTCATAGTCACTTTGTCGTCGAAGTGGGTGGCGAGGATGTCCATAGCGATCTTGTAGTTGTTAGGAGTCATGGAGAGTCCTTGTATCGCGTGAAGAGCACGACCTCGCAGACAAGATTTCAACAAGGAAAATTTTGTCGTGTCATCGAGTTGAACCTTATTGCCGACTAACGTGGCAAACCGAGACGAAAATTCTGGGTACTCAAGGATGTTTCCATCGAACGTGGGAAGTTCCAATTTACTGAGAATAGAAGCATCGACGAAATTGAGCAGCGACGAGTTGACTGCTGGAACATACGGGAGCGTTGTCGTTTGAGAAAGCGTTGTGTTGGACCGCACGGGTCCACTGGACTGGCGATGGCGCTTAGCTTGTCTTCTGAGTGTAGGCGGCATCGACTATGGTGTGCTGTAATCTTCTTTTCGAAAACTCACAGAGAATCCTGCCGTGGTCGCCACTTGTTTTGACTTCTGCTTCCGGCTGCGTCGAACACTGAGTCCAAAGTCGTTTATTGGGATAAACACAGCAGCAGAGTGGATAAACTGAACCATACTCAGCATGAAGGTATTTATACCGGTGATGTTTTGAAGGCAGATGGATAACAAATGGAAAACAATCTGTTTGTGTAGACACAGGTTTCCTTTAATTAGGAAGTGACAAATGTATTGTGAAAATGAACCTATTTACTCAATTGGAACAGGTTTTTCAGACACAGTCAATAGCCGGACCATGAATTTCTCGTAATGGTAACGCCATTATCAAAAAAAATAAGGCTAGTAGAGTTGAATTTTTTTAAATCCTCGAGAGTTATTCGAAGCTAAACTTTGAGAACTCAGATAAGTTCAGTACCGGTCGTCAATCAGGAATATTCTAGAATTTATCGCCGGAATTGTTCTGAAAATGTCTTAGTTGAACCTGACAACAAATGAACTAAACTGGCAGTACCAGTTCGGGATCCTATCAAAATGATCTACTGGAGGAGCTCTGCGGAGAAAAATATTGAAGTTTTTTTTGCAAGAAAATGCTTGTAATTCATGATGGACCACTCCGACTTTCGAACGTTCCAGACGATACGAAAAATTCAACGTAAGAAGTGATTAAGAGGGTGAGAAGCATCACAGCGTGATCAAGTTCTTTTGAAATGCGCCACTGCGCTCTATGGCCTCATCAGAATCGGATGACACCATGGAAGCAAATTGGCCTAAAAAATAGCTTGCGATGGCCAGACAATGTGAGAATAAGTGTCTTTATTCTGCTAGACATGCCTGGTACGAAATAAGCAACCCCAGGGGGGGGAGGGTGAAAGGCCTGGCTGGCCTTGGACGAAATCCCTTTCGAGATTTACTTTGAGTATGCCGCGACCCTTGCCAACATACCCCTACTGCACTAACAATGAAGCAGAAAGCAAAATGTAAAATCATATAATATCAGAATCGACCCAAAAAAAATATATGACTCAGGAATCGCCGTTCTGCCAATACGAAATTTCGATTGAAAAAAAAGGTTCAGAACGCCTCTCTGTCGCTGCGAAGTAGTATAAACCATGACTTACCCGACTCGACTGCAAGCCGCCAGATGACTGTTCATAGCTTCGAGCATTCGTGACAGCCCAACCTCTTCGGCACACTGCATCAACCCGAGCACGAACAGATCGCACCATTTCGTCTTCATCACCGATTCCAGTGTGAATGGTCTGAATGGGAAAAAACATTGTGAACCCTCGAAATCGCATCGACTGAACTGGACGAAGTCCATTGGTTCGCTAAAGCGCTCACAGAAAGGAAGTTCGCAGCGAAAAGCGCGCTTCAAACGGACATCAGTTCGAACTGGTTTATTGTGCAACGAGCGCTGGCTTATAAGCTGCTTCAAAAGTTTGAACGCTCGCACTCAACGATTCTGCTGGGATACGCCACGCACTTGTCCGACCTCCATTCCAAACTGTAAATGTAAACGCCTCCCATAGATCTGCTCTCTTTCCAAACTAATAAGAGTAGATTAATTAGAGAAATTCTCCAGAAGTTTGCTTCTTGTCAATTGCAACAAACAATAGCTCACGAACAATTGCAGGAGTTCGGCCGTCTATTTTGCCTTAAAAACGTTGACTTTGCGGTCAGAACTTCTTAGAGGAATTGATCACGTGTTCACAAGGGTGTTATCGTCACGCCGCAACAGCGCACACACGCATTGCGCCATGGTAGCCTGACGAACAGGCACTAATTCACTCACTTTAAACCTGTTCGAGCTTCTTTCATCCAATGTACTGATAAAAACAGCAGTCTGCTGGCCGTCTCACAAATGAATTGAATATTCAATTCGGCTGGGGGTGGATGTGGCACCGGCAACTCGAATCGACACCGCTGAAAAGGTGAGGGGTCAAATTCAAATTCAAATTTACTAGTCACCGTATTGAATAGGTAAGGCACGCGAATAAGCGGCATCACACGAAAATGTATAAGTTGGGGAATTTCAGCAAACATGAAATGGAATACAAGCACAGTAAAGCGCGCTCATGTCCTTGGGGAGTGGGGGGAGGGGAGCGATATTCAAAACAGGGCAATTAAAAGCCCCTGCTTGGTAACACTAAGACTAAACATGAGCCCAGGAGAGGGGAGAAACGCCAGAAAGAGCAAAGGTTGCTCTTGCCTTCCCAAATCCCTCAATCCCTAAGGCTGAAGCTCAGAATATAGGTAGTGAAATCACTCGATTTCAATGTCCCCCCTAACTACATAAGCGTCCCATTAAGCAAAACACTGGAACATACCTCAATGTTGAAGATGGGTCCGTCTTCGCTGACCGATGAGGCTGTTCCGGAGGATGATGGCGATTCAGACGGTCCCATACCGATCACAGTCATCACATCGATGCCGCACTCGTCCTCTCCGACCGACTCCTGGGAAAGGATAATTTCAAGAGAATATACAATGTCAGAATCTGTCCTGTCGTACCCTTTTTACTGAAGTCGACAGTTGGACTGGCGCTCATCGGCCTCGCCATGGCACTCATCGGCGAGCTGGCGCCCTCTTCCTTCTTGACAGTCATCATCGCTTTGTCACACTCCAAAAGTTGCTCGTGCTCGTTCTTTACGATTGCCAGCAGTCCGTTCATGAGCGGATTGGAGTCCAACGCCTAACAGATTTTTTTTTGAACTTTTTATGAGCTGCCCTTATAGTGCGACTACAAAAATCGTCAATTTGTGACAAAACAAATTTGTAAGAAGCCATTATACTGTACTCCCCCAGGGTCAACCATCCACCATTGGCGTTCGCGCCCAGGAATTTTGCGACCACCCTCCCTTTTTTTAAAGATCTCGATGCGGCTCCCCAGAAGTGCAGCCGGTCTTGGGCGCCTCTCCCAATAACCCCCACCCCTCCCCTAAACCCACCGCTATCCATGGTTCATGGTTAGCTGTTTCTATAACATTTGATTCTGGAACCGGTCATTCTACGCCCACTTTTCCCGGGACGTCAAGTGAGGAAGTGGGAAGGGATAGAGGGGAGAGCTAAGTGAGCTATGCAAGTCCTACAATTTTCACGATTTTATAAATTCGCACTTTCTCAGAGGTAGTTGACCTTACTCAACCCTAAATGCGAACCCCCCCCCCCGTTCGAATAGTGCAAACGGACGGTTGATCCTGCATCTCACTATCACTGTAAGAGTAGTTTACTATTGCTGATTTTTTTAACACTTAGCCATTCCGCAAGCCCACGAAACGAATGAAACCTGACTAATTCCTTTTTTCCTTCCCGAAAATTTAGTTGGATGGGAGTCATGGGATTCATGCACACCTCCCTCGCACTGCATCACCTTTTCCTTTTTTTTGGTCATCTCTTGAGTGAGAGGACGTTCAATTCTCCTCCCAGGTCAGGACGCCAAAGCTACGCACTGAATGCTAAGGTTATGCTTGTGTTCGACTTAGGCTGAGACCTCTTCCTACGCTGAAGCCTACAGTTAGGCCGGGCTTAGTCCTATGCTTTCGTCGGGCAAATGAGTGGTGTCTTAATTTCGGGTGACCTGACCTGAGCGCGAAAACTGAAACGAACCCCTTACATTGGCTAGACCTTCACTTCTCCTCCTAGTTCAGGCTACCAAAACTACTAGATCTGAAGCTTGAGTTTATGCTTTTTGCTTTTTACGTAGAGGACGAAAAAAAAACTTCATTTCCATTGAGTTCTAATATAATGAGTTAAAGATGGGCTCAGAAAAGCTGATTCACAACAGAAACGAATGAAAATCTGATTTTAGACCTCGCCAGTTTTGGTCACCCACTCTGAGTTTTGCTCTGCGGGAAATGTCGGGTCCAGCAAGGCCTCATTTAGGAGATTCTTCCTATTACTTCCCCTCAAAACCCTTCCTTATTGTGGTTGATAAGGCTCTTGACTAATACACTTCCAACTCTAAAAGGCCAGCAAGTAGGGGGATGTTTTGATCCCAACTCTTATCCCTCCAATTACCAATCCTGGCTTAGCCTACAAATGCAGTCTTGGATCCACCTCCTGGAGCCTGAGTCATACGAGTAAAAACAGCTACTAAGAATAGCCAGATCACCGTGGCTACAGCTAGAACCTGGAGAAGCTAGTTTTCCGGAATATTTTTTCGAATTCAAAAACGAGAAAGTCTCACTTTAATAATCAATAAGAAGAAAAAATATTTTTATCACTTGTAACCAATTTTTATGGGTGAAAATAGCAAATCTAATCGACTCGTTAATACTTGCTGCAGTGAAAATTTCACTAACCGTGGTGTTTGCCGAGGCGTTGTGACTCTGCACCATGGTTGGTGGGCTGTCGGCGCAGATCTGTTGCACGGGACGTCGCTCGGCTTGAACAGCTGGAACAAACTCTACTTGGTCGCCCTGGATAAAACCTCTATAAAAGGTGATTTGTGGCACTAATCGGGGTCGTCGACCTGCCCAGGTTCACTTCAGCGTCACACGGGGCGGCCAGCGGCCGGGCCGAGCGTGTGCGCGTTGCATGGCAGGGTGGGGCGATAATTGTTATTCGTGACATGCAGACTGCTAATTAGAATAGCTATGGATGGCCGTCGTAAAATCGATCGGCCCTGTTTTGCTCTACCGAAACGTGCTCGGGGTTACCATAGTCACCGGGCGAGATACGGTCTGCGAAAGCACGGGGACGGGGATGTCGGATTAGAGCCATCAGCTGATGGCATACTGGGCCGAATTAGCGCTGAAGGACAGATGACCGACTATGAGCATCTAAAGGAAGCCAGACTTCACCAACATGAACGGTGCTACTCACACTCACTGCGCATTCCCATCGACAGGCACTTCTTCAGACGGCAATATTGGCATCGATTTCGATGGAACTTCGTCACCGGACAGTCCTTGGCTCCACGACACATGTAGCCGATCTGAAATTGAACTCTGAAACGGGGGCTAGCACTAGTGATCAGCCAGTTTTCATTTCTCCGAGTAACCCGCATTTATTAGCCTCGTTTATCGCATAAGCGGTGCACAAGTTCATTTGCCCCGACTCTGCGGGTATTATGCCCTCGGGCGACCTTTGCGTTGTCAGAGTAACAATCTCGTCGATAGCGCTGGCTAGTAAAGGGATGAAAGGGCGCGCTGCGGGAGATCTGAGAGATGATGAGAGAAGCCTGCTGCCTACCTGCTTTCTGATGGATCGTTTGAAGAAGCCTTTACAGCCTTCGCAGGAAACGGCGCCGTAGTGTCGTCCACTGGCCTTGTCACCACAGACCACACACAGTTCTCCGCCAGCACTACCTGCTTCTCCTCCTGCTCGGGACGAGATCGAATCGGCCCGTTGAGGACTTCCAACCCGCACTCCGGACATCACGCCCGCATTCGCCAACTGAAAATCGTCATTTTGATCTTAGGAAATTGGTTAAAAAAAAATGGGAGAATTCTGTGCTGAGTTGATGAAGAGATCCAGGAAAATCAAAGAAATGTCCTTGCTAATCATCGACGGACTTGGAACAGGAACCAGAAAGGGATGAAGGCAAAACCTAGACCTAAGCATTTTGGCGCAATCCATTTCATGCCGCTCCCTTCTTCGCTTTCCTCTAGAGGGTCAGCGCTCGAACGGTGAATGCGAACAGACTTTTAAGCAGATGCCGACGTCATGGGAACGCGATGAACGTGCTCATCGATTTACTGCCCTTTAGATTGCCAGTTATGGCAAAAGTCACTTTAGAAACATCGACAGCGAATACACTTGCACACGGCTGAAACGAAGGCATCGTTGGCCACTGTTCCCTAGGGGGAAAAATTGAAAAAAGCACCCGGAAGCGGCCAACACCCTCACCCAATTGTTGATATTCCCTCACCTGACGACCCCTCAAATGCCGACGGAACGCTCGGACTGGAGGAAAGAAATGAGAAAATTTCATGGTGGATGAGTCTCAAAAAGGTCTCCAATTAACCAGCACTACAGGGTGCGCCTTGGAAATCTGAGAAGGCTGAAAGCGTACACTTGAGTGAGGAGCGAGGGAGCGACGGAATGAGAGACGAGGTGGAGGAGGAGCAGGGGAAAGAGGGAAATGGAGGCAGCCGAGAAGGTCAAAGGCCAGACAATCGATGTGAACCACTGAATAACGAGTGAAGGTGCGAAGCGCCGTGGACGCATTCGTCAGCGAAAACTGTGCCCCGTCGTGGTAAGCGCAGACCCATTCGTTTAAAATACCCCTCTGAATGGATCGGCCTGAAATTGTGACAAAGCGGCGTTTCGATCACGCTGACCCCGGCGGCCTCGGTCCGAACTGAAGGAGTTGAAGTGAGAAAAGTGACGCAAACCAAAGGTCAAACAAGGACACTGATAAAATAACTGATAGAGGCGATCATCACGCGCCAACAGCGCCTATTCACCACCATCGGCCAGGAGCCGTCAAAATTTTTCATGCAATGCGACGTTCGACGACAACGAGCTCCCACATCAATAACAGCACACACACACCACTCGCTCACACACACGTATGCTCGCATAGACACGGAAGTGGACGCGATCATCATCGGCGTTCGAAGAGCTCATGAGGGACATCTGAGAGACGATAAAGTTGGCGAAAATCCAGCTGGCTGGCAGCGGTTATTATTACCGGCGTTCGAATCATTAGGGGGCGGGGTTGAGGGCGAGCGCGCCCCTCTCCCGCAAAACAACGATGACCTCACCCGGGAGGGAGACACACGCACGCGAGGACGGCAGGAGGCAGCCGGCCAGCCAGCCGGCTGGTGCGAAGCAGGTGGATGTGTCGCCGAGTGATCTGGGTGGAGGCCATCGTCATGGCATGGGCACTTGGCCAGAACTGGTTCCATACACACACACGCAGCACGCGACGACCTTCTGCCATCTGCCGTCCGCTCACCTTGCAACTATACAAGCCACGGTAACTGCACGGCTCACACTGATTCCATCTACAGCAACTCAAATCATTCACGTTAGATCCCCGAGATCGCAAATCGGAGGGCGCTGTGCGCGTGCTTTTGGGACGATCGTACGGCGTCCCAAAACTTGTTGCTTGTGAGGGCGTAAGCGGGACTGCCCGCGGTCAAGCACAGCCCAATTATCGAGTGCTTATGGGAACCGGTTCTGAAGGGCTAACGTCGCGGTCAGCTCGCGGATCTGCTGCGTTGCTGACCTTAGCCGGCTTCTTCCTTCTTGATGACGTATTGTCATCGGTTGACGAGCGAGCGATCAACCGAGCGACAACCGCCCACACTATACCTCGCCGATAGCGATCCGAGCGTAAAACATTGCAATAGCCGGTTGTAAGCAAAAGAGGATTTGCTACGAAAAATTTCACAACCAATGGATCATAACGTGACGCTAAAGAGCAATCCAGTGCGCAAGTCAAAAGGGCAGAAAAAGAGAGATCCTTAGGAGTTCTGAGGAAAAGGGGTACGTAGCGTTTCTCTTCCTGGGGTCAGGTCCTTTTTTATATTGTATTTTCTTATCCTGATTATCCTATTATTATTTGTTCCTGTCTAAATTTGCTGTCATATGCCTATTGTAAGCTAGCTTTTATTCACGTATTGATTTGTTTTACCAACATTGTACAATAGCTATAAAATAAATAAACCTAAAATTGAGACGCCGTTCATTCGCTCGGAGCAAGCTTAGGACTAAGCCTAGGCCCAATCATAGGCTTAGGCATAAGCCAATGTGTAAGCATAAGCCTTAACCTAAGTCTAAACCCAAACTTAACCTTAAGCTTCAATGATCGCGCAACTGTGGTGACCTGACCCCAGGAGGAGAAACGCACGTCTCCCGAGGGAAAGGTAGAGACGATCTTTGGGGTACGAAGAACCTTTCTCACCTGGGCATTTCGAAGAGCAGAGATATGCTGCAAGAGATTCGGCATCACCGCCGGAACGGCGCCGTGGTTCTGGAACAAGTGATTGCGAGCGGCAGCCGCCTGTAAAAGTTCAGAGGTAGTTCGGAATGCGAAACGGAAAATTGGGTTGAGCAGTTAAGTGGAAGGACCCAGAACAACTAGGAGTAGGTGGACAAGGAAGAAGATCAAGGAGAATATCAAATTTAAATTTCATAATTGAAAATTCATGGACCAGAATACTAATACGACCTTGGTTTGGGCAAAATATTGTGCAGGAAATTTTGATTGAGCCCGCTTTCTTGCAGTAAATATTTAGATAAATAAATGAAAAGCCGATCACATGATAGGAAGTTCGTGAACTTTGACCTACTAAAGGAGATATCACTATTAAATTGAAAAACTCCGCGAAAAATGACTTTCAATTGATCAGACGATGAAAAATTCAGCACCAACCCCACCAGGAGGTCAAACGATTCGTGAACGCAATCACCGTGAGGTGTTATCACCTCTTGACCGATCACACAGCTGATAGCGGTGTCAAAACGGGGGTTCAACCGAGACGCCTTTCATTAAAGGTCCCATCGTGATGAATCAGCACAGCCGTGTTCTTATCGTAAAGAAGAAATTCATAACTTTAGGTCGGAGAAAGGGATGAGAAATGGGGTTGACACGGGTGTGTGTGTGGGGGACTCGTATCGTGACGGGTGCTGGGACACTGTTATTGCGACACTGCTTTGTGGGGTCACGGCGCAATGTGGAATTGAAGGTCGCACGCGAATCTAGATCACTTGGATGACCCGAGGATGACCCATGGAGGTCCCGCGGAGGTCGCGTTAATTGATCAGCCAGCCGTCTAAACATTCAAAATCACACAACTTGAGGTCACATTACCGTCAACACCGAGCGTTACCGAAGGATTTCAAGACATGGTCTGAGTGACAAGGAGGACTTGAAGATCTCCCTATGATGACTCTGGGCTCATTACCGAATTCGTACAGCGGCGGAAACGTGCCACCAACACTGCTTCAGCAAGCAATTATTAGAGCACGCCAGCTCACGGCTTGTTTAATAGCAATTAGGCAGCACACTATGCTGATGACATTACGGACGTGATTTGAGAAATGAGCTCTTGGACGTGAGACCTTTGAAACTCGGGCAATTTGCTCCGCAGATGCCAACAGAAAACATGTCCCAGAAGGGATCTCAGTGCGAACAGCATAGCCGGGCTGCCCCAGAGTGGCCATTAAACAGTTCTAATGGTCGCCAGTCTCTCTGGGGACCGGTGCTTGTTGTTTAATTCGAGAATCTCGACGAGTGGAGGATGATATAGATACATATGGCGGTTGGAGAGGAGCGACGAGGAACGACGAGAGGTAGAACATCGGGACGGGGTGCGGATCAATGGTGCCCTGCGGCTATAGGTCAGAATGCTCTTAGTGACAGCGAATATATAACTGAAACTAGAGCCAAAGCCGATTCAATGGCCAAACGAAGATGGGCGAGTCCTCTACCGAGGGGTCCGCCTGGGGAATGACTTAGCTGTTCAGGGATGTCATTCGAACTGCCATCCTGCATGTGAAATAACTTTGATCGCTTTTAGTACGATCTTGTGGGAACCTTATCCGATTTCCAAAGAACTGCTCGGAACTTCTGTTCTTCGTTCTTCCAGACGGCAATGCCAAGCATTTTTCATTTTTTGTTATTTATTCACGTGTTGGAAGCAGTGGGCAGGCGCTGACGCGTGCACGCAGTTATTGGGTTGAGGATCGGGTCAAGTGGTGAAAATTTTAGAGGTATGGAATTAGGACATGATTCCATCGTGAAGGCGAAAAGCGTATCCTCATTAGAATTTCCAAGATGAATAACTTAGCATAAGCGTTTTAGGATAACCTTCCACCACTTTAAATTGAAATTTATTATATTTCATAAAACAGCTAATTAGAAGGGGAATAATCCTCAGAAAAAGTATGATGACCTTCAGCACCAAATTATCTCAGTGTGTCCCATTTTGAAACAGATTCAACTGTTTTTGTGATTGGAAAGGAACTATGACGCATGGCGTATACAAAGGGTAAATAGTGGAACAAAATTTTACAATTTCCTTTCAAAGGCTGATTTTTTTGAAGGAAACACATCAGATCAAGGAGAAAAGGAGAGAAAATTTTATGGTGGGGTTTACTCGAAGTTCTTCCAAAGCTTTGGGAAGCGCAGTTGGGCTAATCGTGGCGATGAAACGCATAAGAGTTTCTTGCCCATAAAGGCGAAGGAGATGGTTGTAAAAGCGAAGTTCGGGTCCGGCTTGTGGCTCAGCCATCAGAAAAGCGGCAGAGGTGCAGGAAAGACCAAAATCCGCCCATGGGAACGCCGTCTATTCACTCTCTTGATATTCCACCGTTCACCAGAATCGACAGAAACAGCACCTCGTGGGAATTTTCCCCTTATCAACGATAAATCGTAGCTCGTTATTCGGCGTTTTTGCGCAGTCGTTGCCATCGTTGCCAATTAG